AAAACCCTTCATGGACTTTATTTGTCCGTTTTGAGCTGTTGGATTCCCATTCTCTCTTTCCTTGCTTTGCCACTCTGTTGTCACAGAGTCAGAACCCTTTCACCACACTATTAGTTTAGCCCTAAACATAAACTTACAAGAGACAGACAGACATTCTGTCCTATCATTCATTCTCACACTTCCATGCCATAAACCTTCAAACACCCCTTCCCTCTCTTCTCATGGATCTAGCTTAGTTTTTGAGAAATTTCCGTCTCCCAAGAAGGAAGCAGCAGGTTTTCTTGAAAACTAAAATGGCAGCTGAGCAGCCTAGCTCTAAAGGGCAAGCATGGTTAGTTGATTAGCAATGCACAAATTAGTCTTTTCTTGCCCATGTTTCATACAAAGACTGAACGACAATTTCTCCAATGTTTTTTCCTTTTCTTTTCTTTCTTGCAGGTTTTGCACAACTGGGCTGCCAAGTGACATAGTGATTGAAGTAGAAGATATGACCTTTCACCTCCACAAGGTAAAGCGTGGCCCTTCTAGTTTTATTCCATGTTCAAGTCATTTTCTTTCTTGCTTGCTTACTAGTGGCTCTGTGTTCTCTGTCCGGTGGTTTAGTTTCCTCTGATGTCAAAAAGCAAAAAGCTTCATCAACTAATAACAGAGCAAGAAACAAATCCTACAACCTCAACAACCCAGAGGAATGACCAACAAGAACCAGAAGAAGAAAGAGATGAAATTGAAGAAATTCTTTGTCAGATTTCTCTCCTAGACTTCCCAGGCGGCTCTGAAACGTTTGAGATGGCTGCCAAGTTTTGCTACGGCGTAAAGGTAGACTTAAACTCATCTATCATCGCTCCTCTTCGCTGTGCGGGAGAGTTTCTTGAAATGACGGAGGAATATTCAGAAGATAATTTAATTTCTAAGACAGAGAGGTTTTTCTCTCATTCTGTACTCAAAAGTCTCAAGGAGTCAATTAAGGCCTTAAAATCTTGCGAGCGGGTAATGGCACTAGCGGAAAGTTTAGGCATTACAGAGAGATGCATTGATTCCATTGCTTCCAGAGCATCCTCTGCCGATCCAGCCTTATTTGGCTGGCCGGTTAGCGAAGCAGCAAATGAGAATATCAAATCTAGTTCCAATCAGGCCCTGTGGAATGGGATTGAATCCGCGGTACGTAGAAAAGGAGGTGGTGCTAGAAGCAATAATGCGGATTCTTGGTTTGAAGATTTGGCACTTTTGAGCTTGCCATTGTTTAAGCGATTGATTTTGGCTATGAAAGTGCGAGATCTGAATCCGGAGATTGTAGAGAGTTGTTTAATGTACTATGCCAAGAAGCACATCCCGGGCGTATCAAGATTAAATAGGAAGCCATCTTCTTCATCATCTTCAATTGCTTCAGAGGGTGGACAAAGGGAAGTTTTGGAGACTATTGTTTCCAATCTTCCGTTGCACGAAAGTTCTAGATCTTCCACAGCTACAAGGTTCTTATTTGGCTTGCTAAGAACTGCTAACATACTAAATGCAGCAGAGGAGTGTCGGTCCACTGTGGAGAAGAAAATCGGGTTGCAACTGGAGCAAGCTACACTAGATGATTTGTTGATTCCTAGCTATTCATATTTGAATGAGACATTATATGATGTGGATTGCTTGGAGAGAATTCTAGGCCACTTCTTGGATGGACTTCAAGAAGAGGGAGATGTAGGTGAGATTGAAGCCGGCGAGGATGGTGGAGGTAGCAATGTGAGATCACCCTCTTTAATGCTTGTTGGTAAACTAATTGATGGCTATCTTGCTGAGATTGCATCAGATGCAAATTTAAAGCCTGATAGATTCCATAATCTTGCAATTTCACTACCGGAGCAAGCTAGACTCTTTGATGATGGCCTTTACCGAGCTGTAGATGTCTATCTCAAGGTAACAAATTCCCCGTTATATTGTTTATATATTTAATTGTGCAATGAGATATTACAACCGGTAATGCAGTTTTGCAAATCATAGACAGATGAAGTTGTTATGATGCCACTATCCCTGAGATTTAGTACTACGTTAATGCTAATTACAAAATCCTATAGAGAAAAGTCGCAGTATATAGGCCAAGTTGTTTTGTTGGCACAATCCAAGACTCAATATTCTGTTATAATAATTACTGTAAGGAAATTTATGCTTCCCAGCAATGAAGTCTTGTTTTTTTTTTTTTTTTTAATTTTCGAAGGCACATCCATGGATATCAGAGGCAGAGCGGGAGAAGATATGTGGTGTAATGGATTGTCAAAAGCTCACATTAGAAGCGTGCACTCACGCAGCACAAAATGAGCGGCTGCCATTGCGTGCGGTGGTTCAAGTTTTGTTTTTCGAGCAGTTACAGCTGCGCCATGCAATTGCAGGGACATTGATTGCGGCTGAAGCTGATCCTGCAAGGCCATCCATGCTAAGACGGAGGGAGGAAGAGGCTGAGGCAGAGGCAGAAGCAGGGGCAATGCAGGAGGGTAGCAGCGACACTTGGAGGGCAGCAGTAAGGGAAAATCAAGTTCTGAGACTAGACATGGACAGCATGAGGACTAGGGTGCATCAGCTTGAACGAGAATGTTCAACTATGAAGAAGGTGATTGATAAGATTGATAAGGAGGGTCCGCGTGGTAACAATGGAGGGTGGAGAGGGTCCCTGACAAGGAGGTTTGGGTGCAAGTTCAAGACCCAAGTTTGTGATTCTCATGAACAAACGGTTGTAAATGCTAGGAAGGGAAGGCAGCAGCAGCATCATCATCATCAACAATAGATGATTCAGCATGGGAGCAGGAGTTGTTATTAGTATTCATTTAATCCAAATCACATTGTGTAGTGGGTGTCCATAATTTATGATGTTTAGTCCATGCAAGTTGCTTCCACTTGTGGTCTTAAAAGATGGGGGAATAAAAGTACGATTTTTTTCTCAAGGGTGATACTGTTCTAGCTCCAATGATTTTGTTGATTGTCCAGATTGGCACATCTTCTAAGGTAATGCCTTCTGGGCATCACAGAGCATGAGGGACAGAGTAAATTGCAGGTTCTTTCTATAAAGCTGCGTGTAATCTGAACTCCGTGGTCAGTGGTCACTCCCACCAGAAGCTAAGGGACCCAGTTTCTGTGCAGTCGTAGATCATTAAAAGCATCAAAAATCATCTCCTTATCTGTCCCTTTTCTATCATAGACTGTTCTTGTTTTGAACTGGAAGTCAAGGTGAAGATGACAAAAAAAAAACTTGTAGTGTTCGAATTTCCTTGGATTCATGATGATGACCGAAGTTTAGAGCAATGTGGAGTGCTTTCTGTCCAAGAATCATTATGCTCACCACTTCATTCAAAACAAGTTAAAAAATCAAATCTAAGATTGGTTAGGTGATGAGGAGAGTGAACCCATCACCGGCCTGTATATCCACTCGACTTTCATCTCGAATAAAAATTCAATCCAACCCAATAAGATGATATTGGGTGACAAATGTATTGGTTGAAATTATCATTCCATGAAGTAATGGGAATAGTGTCTGTCACCCTTATCACTTTGATGATCTTTAGATAATTATTCTTAATGACAGATTATTCTACATAAATTCTGGTTTTAACAATATAAATGGATGAACTTTGGGTGAACAAATCAAGGGGATGCTTGTGTTTTGAGCATATGTAATAAGCCAGGTACAAACTTTTGTCCTTGTAGTCATTTTTCTCTTCTCCACATTCTTTTCCTTGCACCTTAATTAGTTTTTTCTTTTCAAACCATTAATAATTTTAATTTATAATGAACTTTTATTGTTTATTCTAATTTTCTTTCCTTTTTTAAAAAAAAAAACTATGTGTTGTCTATTTTAGTAATTTTCTATTTTAAAAAATAACATATTGTTCATTGCGATAGACAAATTATCTTTTATTAGAGAAATTCTTGATAATCTATGATGAGTATAAAATTAAGATTTAAGTTTTTAGACTTCAAGAATTATTTTCAACTTGTTTTCATAAAATGAAACACTAAAAAACATAATATAAATCTCGATAAATATAGTTCCAACCATAAAACACCCTCTAATTAGTTCATAAATCCAAATAAACCTAATCAAATTAAAATTCATTAGTCCTAATCTATTTTTTGTTGACCTTTTTTTAAACAAAATCATTTTCGTTGAACTTTTATTTTTAAAACAAACATGTTAACGCTAAGCTTAACTTCCTCCCTTTTGTTTTAATGGTTGAAATATGATTGATCTAATACTCTCTCCCTCTCCTTTTTTTTTTTTAGCGACTTTATCTCTTCTTTTTTTTAATATTAAGAGGTTAAAAATATAACAAAAATAAAATTTTGAGGAAATAATATATAATTTAAGATTTTAGGAATTAAATTGAAGTTGTGATACCTTTTAAAAAAAAAAATTCTTTAGATTTTTTTAATAATAACTTAAAATTCTATTTTATAAAAGCAAACTTTAAGTTAAAGTCAAAATATTCTATTACATAATAAATATTCAAAGAACATGTAAATAGAAACAAATTCCAACATTTAAAATCATTTCAACATAACTTGAAAAGATAAAATTAAAAATAAATGAAGTTTATTGGTCGAAGATTTCAGCAAACTAAAAGGAAAAGACTACCAATGAATAATGGAGTGGAAAAAAAATATGGGAGGATGAAAAGTATTTCTACAACAAAACATCATCCTCTTTTATGTATTTACATGGTCAAATTTTCTTTATCATTTATCTCCTTTTAATTTAATTTATTTTATATTTATGGATTATTTTATTTGTTAATATATTTAAAAAATAACTTTCAATAAGTTATTTAGATATTAACTCTAAATTTTAAAATTCGAGCTCGAAAAAAAAAGAAGGTTACCAGCAACACCAGAGTGGTCTCCAAATTCCTAGTAGCTACAGCAACACAAATGGGCCTTGACCCAACACAAAATGGGCTTAACTCCCAAGAACATTTCACTCTCGCCACCTCGTCTACCATGCATCATTCTCCGAAACTTAAGCCAGTTCCCAAGCCACGTGGGAAAAACAGCAGCATTCTCCGGCTACGCAGGTAATTCCAAGAGCCAGCCAACATGACATAAGCAGTTGGAGGAAATCCGAAACTTCACTGACTGAATCAAAGGGGGGAACTTTCCAAACTTATCGAGTTGATTTCCCTCGAAACAAGGGCCCCCCCACCTTGTCAATCCACAAAATTTGCATCGGTGTCATTGGAATAGATCCATTGAAGAGACCAGCTCATAAAAAAGGTCCATGTCTTTCATATTCTCTTTGCCACCACCACCACCACTGTTTGCTTCTATTGTCTGTTTGTTCTTTAATATAGCATCTGTATTTCACATTGTGGGCCCTTTTGTTCTCTGATTTTAGATCTTGAAGGAGAGAGGAGAAAAGAAAAATGGGGAGGATGGAGTTTTTGAAGATGAAGACTGATGATGAAGTCAGCGCTAATTTAATTGATTCCGATGTCAGTGAGCTCAAGGTTGCTGCTAAGAAACTCATCAAGGATGCCGCTAGGCTTGGTGGCTTGGGGTTTGGTACCTCTTTTCTCAAATGGGTTGCCTCCTTTGCTGCTATGTGAGTCCTTTTTCTTTTTGCTTAATTTTGTAAAGTTCATTTCTTGATACAATATACAATATCCTTTTGTTGAATTTCTGCTCTGAAATCTGAGAACACAAGTAATATAAGCTAAGGATCGCATATACTCTGATTGTTTCATGTCTAGTTTATTTGGGAATTCATTTTGCTTGTCATAAACTGGGCTTTGATCCTGGAGTTCAACAATGAACAAGTAAATGACTGTGCCTGATACGTTTTATCTGCAATCTATATGAATCTGAACCCCATCTATTCCCATTGCGAGTATTGAATTCTTTCCGTGAATAATTAACTTATTATTAGATGTTCTGTGCAGTTATTTGTTGATATTGGACCGGACAAACTGGAGATCCAACATGCTGACTTCACTTTTAGTCCCTTACATTTTCTTTAGTCTTCCTTCTGTACTATTTAACTTCTTCAGGTGATAATCTTCTGTGATATTTAGCCTTTTCACTTCGATTTGTTTTGGTTTTATCCTCTACTGAGCTTGAATCTATGCATGTCCAAATTATTCAGAGGGGAAGTTGGAAGGTGGATTGCTTTTGTTGCAGTGGTTCTCAGGCTCTTCTTCCCACGACATTTTCCAGGTTCAGGCCCAAATTAGTTTCCTACTGATCTTAGTTTTTAGCAGAATGCATTGCTTGCTTGTGTAGCCTTGCCATTCTTTTTTCTGCACCAGCCACCATGTTTGACATGTAGCAAAGTTATTGAGAAAGAGAACCAAAGTTTTCTGGATTACTTGAAACATTTTTAGAATTGTATTTCCCAGGTGCCAAAATTGATCGGCAAATCTGAGGCTAGGCTGTTTATTCTATTCAACATTTCCTGAGATTGACTGAATTCTGGCGTGAGTTAAATTATCTAATCAACACACTTCAAACTGTAATTTTGCTATTTTTCCTGGTCAATGTGAAATTGCAAAGGCTAAGGATAGCTTGCAGTTCCCTGATACAGCCTGTGAACCCCTAGCTCCATCCATGCTCTCTCTCTCTCTCTCACCCCCACCCACCCGTACGCTTGCAGAGAAGAAACAATCTCATAAACATTATCTTTAAATTCATATTCCCATTTGAAGACTATGATCATTTGAAGACTATAATGGTTCTTTCGTTTTTTGGATCAACTACTAACTAATATAATAAAAGTGGAGGTTCACCATTTCTTTTTCCGCGATTTGATTTCTTATTGCTATATGTTGATCTGTTAGATTAGAGATGGAAAATTCGATTTGGTGGTTTAACTGATATTTGTTTTGTCATTGAAATTGTGCCATATCCCCCCCCCCCTCCCAAATACGTGGATTCCACAATAGATTTTCATTCTTGTCTCAGTATTCTTCCAAGTTATGACATGTAGAATTAAGCTGTCAGATATTTCAATATGTGAGACAGCTGTTCATGTGTGAAAACTTGCTGTATCATTCTAAATTATATTTCTTGTAAATCTCTCTATTTACCACAGCTGATACTCTGCAACAAAAAACGTGATGCTTCATGACTATAATAACTATGTACCTACTGCCTGCACTGTTTGTAAGAAATGCATGCACTTTGTTGACTGTAACTATATCTTTGCTATTGTCCATTGATGTAATACTTTCTGATCATTGCCATGTACAGATTGGCTGGAGATGCCAGGATCAATAATTCTTCTTCTGGTTGTGGCTCCAAATTTCTTTGCACACACCTTGAAGGAGAGCGTGGTTGGTGTCTTCATATGCCTTATCATTGCTTGTTACCTATTGCAAGAGCACATCCGGGCATCTGGTGGGTTCAGAAATTCGTTTACACAGCCCCATGGAATATCAAACACTGTTGGGATTATCCTTCTGATAGTTTATCCTGTGTGGGCACTAGTGCTTCACTTCTTGTAGGCACTTTAGCCTGCGGATTCGAGCAGTGAAACTGTGACTGCACTGCAAATTAAAACATTCATGCTGTGTTTACTTAATTTGTTAGATATCAATAATACTATGATTTGGTATGCATCGACAGTCGGTTGTTCATAAATTCTATTGAATCGTGCATCTGTTTGCAATAAAAGAACTTTTGTATGCAGTTGATGTAAAAGAACTGTTGATTGTTCACTATTTGTCAAGAGTATGATCTATGGATGTTGGAAGCCTCCCTTCTCCCTCCTGAGTTATATTGCAAATGCAATTTTACTCATTTTCAACCTGGATTTGATTAAAATTTGAAATCAAAGAAAAAAACAATTGAGTTTATGGTAATTTTTTAATAGTTATAAAACTTAATGAGTTAACTTGGAAATGAAATAATGAAATAAGGTTAGTTAGGTTAGTTTACACTGGTTAATCTTAGAGTCAACCTTAACCTTAACTTTTGACTTGGTTTTGAGGTTGGATATATACTAGGAAATAATATTTTTTATTTAGAAATATATTTAAGTAATTTTTTATTTTTAAAAAATTATTTTTAATATCGCACATAAAAAAATATAAAAATTAACTAAAAAAAATTTTAAATTAGGAAAAAAACTCGATTTTCACGGCATTCATAAAAAGAATCTAAATCTAATTTATCATAGTGGTTGTTTTTTATTCATATATATATATGTATTTCAGGCGCGGAGTTTGAATCATGAGTGCCCAAATTTACAAGCTCAGATTGTTTTATATTGGGCCAGAGTTTGCAAGATATTTTTAGGAGTAAAGGAATCGAACTAATTCTGGATCCTTAGCCCTAATTCTATATAAAATGTTTTACGTAAGCTATTTTTACACACCCCTTTAATTCAATTTATCTTTCAATTTCTTATTTCTCTCTTTACGTATTTTTTTTTTAAATTCTAGCACTAATTATCTAACCATTGATTGTAAGTTGAACTCTTAGGGTTCTATTTATAGAAAAAAGAAGTTTAATAAACTGTAAACCATTTAATATAAAGAAAACATATATGATATATTACAATTTTTATTGGTAATTTTAATATATATCAAAATATCAATAATAAAATTTAATAAAACACTATCCAAATATTTTAAATATTTATAAATACAATATAGTAATAAATAACTAAATATTAATTTTTATCTTTATAAAATTATACACAACCTCATAGCTACTACTTATCACAACACTGTATTAAATGACTTTTTAAAAGTATCAAATAAATTATTTTTTGTTAAAAATATATTAAAATAATATTTTTTAAAATTTATTTTTAATATTAATATATTAAAACATTAAAAAATATATAAAAGAATTAAAATTGTTGAGAAACATAATAAAACCAGTCCTCCTAAACTTCCCAAGTAATATGTTTTTTTTTTAAAAAAAAATACAAACCATGGTTGTTCACCGACTTGTCAAACGCTTATGATTGGAAGAGAGGATGGCACCCTGGTAATTTCAGCGCTGAAAGGCAAGAAGACGCTAACCCTAGTTCTCTTTCACCTATATATTAAAAAGCAAAGGCCTCGAAACCTCGAATAGTGCTAAAGAACTCTTGGTTATGGACTCATGCTTTCGTTTTTCATATCAATCACCTTCCTCGTTTTTCTCTTTTTTTCAACCAATAATGATGGATTAATGATTTCTCGGTGATGAAGAAACACAGATGACGAGTCTGATCATTTTTCCATTCTTTCAAATTGTGAGGACAATTCGAGGCATTTGTCTGAGAGAAATCATCATTCCCTTTTCCTTCTCTCTCTCTTTTTTTTTTGAATAATTTTTTATTTCTGGGTCATTTCCGATTGTCTTTGGTTGTTGATTTAAAAATGGAAAATGTCGAGAGGAGGAAGGGGCGGAAGGATGATGCAGCAATGATGAGAAAGCAATCGTAGTCTCTCTTTAAGCATTGAGGGTTTTACCCGTGATTGCATTTCAAGCACTTTTGAGCTGCTCTCCTTCCTCTTCAAGCTCCAAACTTGGTGCCCGACTAATAAAAGGTTGGATGTTCTTCGCAAACAAAATCAGTGTAGGACCAAGGCAGATCTAAAGCTGGGTTTCCTGAGCATCATGGTGTTCGGTTAGCCCTCTGTTTCTGGATTTATATAATTTCGCTGATGCTTGTGAGGGTGCCGAGGCAATATTGCTTCTGTGTGCACGAATCTGCTCGTATGTTTAAGACTTTGCAAAGACCGTACAAAGATTTCTCCTTTCACCTACACTTTTCCGGGCAAAATGTAGATTAGATGTTAAAATACAATCTTAATTCAGTTGGTTAGGGCGCCGTGCTGCTAACGCCGGCGTCCGGGATGGCAAACTGTTTTGTGCATCTGAAGGAGTAAATTATAATTTAGTCCCTATTATTTAGAAAAAGAGCTAACAGGTCCTTTGGGTTTAAAACACTTAATATTCAGCTCCTATGCTTTTAATGTTTTTTAAATGACTCTCTTTAATATTAAGGAATTTTAGGCGCAAAAGGATTTTTTTAAAATATCATCAAACTTTTAAATGATTATTGTAATTTCATGATATTTTAGGGATGGTTATTGTACTTTATCCAAAATAAAATCCCACTATCATAATGTTTTTAGTTGGAGAGTTTTAGCGATATTTTTGGGAAAAAAAAAGAAAAAGAAAAATAAAAATGAAGATGAATTAATTTTTTATTTTAATCGCGTTGAATTATTTGTTAATCCTTATTATATGATAAAATATACGCATCCCATTAAGTTTTACCACGTGCTAAAATATAATATTAGCTTAGGAGAATTTAGTATTCAATCAAATATAAAAAAATAATAAATAATTAAAAACACAATGAAATAACTAAAATATCATAAAAAAAAATTAAACATGTAGTCAAGAGGCCTTTTTATCTTTCCATAATGGATTTTGTATAATTATTAAGTCAGATAAAAAATAATTTAATATTTAATTAAAAAATAAAAGAATAGGTGCATATGGTGAATCAAAGGCTTATAGGAGATGCCCGTACCCCTTCGAATGGCATATGAATGCTTACATATTGTGTCATTGAAATCGTTGCTATATCCTTTTTTTGATGATGTAACACATGTTATCATTACTAGTTTGGTTTGTTGCTTGATGATTTTTTTTATTTCTCCTCCTAAAATTACAATTTAGTTGTTTTTATTGTTGGTATTTCTACTTTGATTCTTATTTTTTTTAATTTTTAATATTTATTCTTAATCTTTTTATAGAAATTTGATCTTGGTTTAGAATTTTCTCCATCAATTCCAATACATATATTGTTATTTTTAAGTTGGTCTTTATTTTTTTAATTTTTAATTTTTTCCCTGACACTTTTATAAATGTTTTATTGATTGTTAATTTTATCATTCAATCCAAATTTATGGTATTATATTTTCTAATTTGGTCCTTATTGATTTGATTTCTGATTCTTCCTCTGTTTTTTTATAAAAATTTAATTTATTTTCAATTTCATCTATCAATTCAAGTTTAAAGTATATTATTTACCAATTTGAACTTCATTCTTTTTATTTTTTTTCTTTTGGTAAAGTGTTTCTTATGTTCAATTTTATCCTTCAATAAAAAACCTTCTTGTTATTTTTATGTCAATTCTAATCCTTTTTTTTTGTTGATCTTTTTGCTAAATTGACTTTTCTTTTTAATTCCACCCTTTAATCCAATATAATTTTTATTTTATATTTCGAGTCTAATGACTCGGATCATGAGTTTTAAAAGTTAAGATGGGTTGATATTTTTTTTAAAAAAATTAGGCTTTATAATGCTCTTTATTTTTTTATATCATGTTATTCCAATCTCATAATCTAGGCCGTGAGCTTAATAAAATATCCCATGTTAGCTCAACCCTAATTACTTTCATTATAAGTTTGTCATGCTAACTTAAATTGACTAATACCACATATATATATATATATATATATATATATATTATTCTATTTCATTTTTTGAATTTAATGGGTTGTAAATGGAGTTACATCGTTTGTCAATTGTTGAAAAAACCTTTTTTTTCTAGATTATCTAGATCATTTTTTTTTTAATTTTATCTATTTACTGTTGTTTTTTATTTTTTTCATCTAATTTAAATAGAAAATTAACTTATTCGACTTAATTGGGTCTATGACATCAGCCACATATTCTTTTTTTTTTAAAAAAAAAATACTTGAGATACATTAACATCATGTTTTATGTATAAATATTGTCTAGTCTCGCAACAAAGCGTGAGTAATACTTAGTGAATAATACTAAATTCATTTGAAATTTTGTCATACCAATAACTTTATTTATGTGATTGTCAATCTTCATGATGCATTTGTTTAATCCAAATTTTCTTAATTCATATGTTGAATTCATTTAATTAATGTTTCATATGATTTTATATTTTATAATTCATTAAAAAATATGCATATTTCTAAAAGAATTGGAGAAAAGAAATTAAGCAATAATAATAATAATAATAATAATAATACAAGGGATCTAAAGATTTGAAATCATATCTTGATCTAAGAAACATACTATAATTCATATAAAGAAATTGGATAAAATTAATGCTTGTAAAAAATAAAAACACCTACATAATAAAAGTATAATAATCCAAAGCAACAAAGGTTTGTATGTTGTATTTATGGAAGCTGCATGAGCAACCAAGTGTTGGCAGGCCATGGATTTTTTCTTTGGCAACAATGGGTCTAAAAACCACATATTCTTTGCAGTGGGGCCGACCAGATATCTAATCCATCATCAACATCATCTTCATCGTCCACTCTGATAGAGAGTGTATCTTAATCCCAAACCTGATACTTGCCACATGGCGGCCTAGAAAACCAGAGACATTACCTTCGCTCAATCAGCCAATAGGAGGAAGCCTTATCCTATCTCTTATCCTACTCATAACAAAACCAACCAGCTTAACTTGCCACTCCTCCCAGCACAAAACACTTCCTCTTGTGGTCAGCTGGTTAGCTTGTTTTTTTTTCTAAGAACTAAAATGGCAGCCTCACTGCAAGCAGCAGCTACACTCATGCAACCCACCAAGGTGGGTGTGCCTTCTAGGACCAGCCTTCAACTAAGATCTTCTCAAAGTGTTTCCAAGGCTTTTGGCTTGGAACCAGCTAGTGCTAGGATTTCTTGCTCTTTGCAATCTGACCTTAAAGACTTGGCTCAAAAGTGTGTAGATGCAAGTAAGATAGCTGGTTTTGCTCT